ATTATTTGTTCTTATGGTGAATACATGGGCATTATGAAGGGTATGCTTTGAAAAGGAGGGGTTGGTCGTTTCATTTTTGACACTTCATTGATCACATGAAAAAGTATGAGCTGCGTGAGCCATTTTTTTTAAAACAAGGGGGGGGTGTAGGGGATAATATTTATGAACTATTATAAAACCACAGCACCTGACGAATGGATGGTGTAACCCCCCCCCCCCCCCCCCACCGCTTCTGGGAATTTTTATTCGGCACAACACTACATGAAAATGATAGTATGTTTATATACTGTATAGGGCCAATCTCTAAATCTTAGGAAAATGATATCAGATATCCTCTGCAATTTTCTTCTTACCGTGTCTGATATATGTGAATGTTTTTTTTTATTGTTGATAAATCATGGATAAACAATATATATTAGCTAACTATATAGTACATGATTGATGATTGTATATACGTATTTAGTTTATTAATGGTAACAGCTAGGTTAACATGATATATGTACGAGAAATAGTTCTGCACTGTTAATGAGAAATTCATTGTGAAATTTAAATTCATGTTAGGCAGAGCCTTTTAACAATTATATGTACACTCTCTTTAACTGCAGATATCTATTTATTAATTTGCAAGTCAATGCTTCAGATGTTGAATTTTATTCTACGTGTAGCTTTAATTCAAAGATCCTTCTGTTTTATACATCTACAAAATTCTTCTTCATTGGAAGGGAAGGGGCGGTGAAGGGAATGGTAGATTACGATTGGGACGGTGAATGGACATATTAATTAAAAGTAAACAAACATTAAACATACTCATAAGTGTAATACCTTTACACATTCACTAAAATAAAATTGCAGTAATTCATTCTTTTGAATTTTTTAAATGATTTTTTTTTATTTGCTTAACTTATTTATGAAATTCGTTTCGTTATTTCTTTTGTTATTTCTTTACTGTTCTATTAAATTTATATATTTTTATTAATTTTATCCCAGGATCAGCGGCGATGTACCGACCTGAATATGCGACGAGCGCGGGAACTGACGTCAGACTAAGGGGTCCGTATAACGCCACGCCCCTCCATAACTACCTGGCGGGGGACGGGAAGTCCCACGTGTATAGAGGCCCCGCCTACTACGTCCCCTCGGAGAACCGCTGGATAAAATTCCATGAATATCGCTCACTCCCCCGAGAAACGAGGAGGGACGCCATCTTAATGGAATCAGAGGAGCAGTGGGTAGCGTACCAAAGACAGAGGGACAGGGAAACGCAGCCCGGGGGTAAGGCAACAGAAAAATAAACACAGCCCGGGGGTAAGGCAACAGAGAGATGCACACAGCCCGGGGGTAAGGCAACAGAGAGACAGGGAAACACAGCCCGGGGGTAAGGCAACAGAGAGATAAACACAGCCCGGGGGTAAGGCAACAGAGAGATGGGGAAACACAGCCCGGGGGTAAGGCAACAGAGAGATAAACGCAGCCCGGGGGTAAGGCAACAGAGAGATAAACGCAGCCCGGGGGTAAGGCAACACAGAGATAGGGAAACACAGCCCGTGGGTAAGGCAACAGAGAGATAAACACAGCCCGGGGGTAAGGCAACAGAGAGATAGGGAAACACAGCCCGGGGGTAAGGCAACAGAGAGATAAACAAAGCCCGGGGGTAAGGCATCAGAGAGACAGGGAAACACAGCCCGGGGGTAAGGCAACAGAGAGATAAACAAAGCCCGGGGGTAAGGCAACTGAGAGATAGGGAAACACAGCCCGGGGGTAAGGCAACAGAGAGATAAACAAAGCCCGGGGGTAAGGCATCAGAGAGACAGGGAAACACAGCCCGGGGGTAAGGCAACAGAGAGATAAACACAGCCCGGGGGTAAGGCAACTGAGAGATAGGGAAACACAGCCCGGGGGTAAGGCAACAGAGCGATAAACACAGCCCGGGGGTAAGGCAACAGAGAGATAAACAAAGCCCGGGGGTAAGGCAACTGAGAGATAGGGAAACACAGCCCGGGGGTAAGGCAACTGAGAGATAGGGAAACACAGCCCGGGGGTAAGGCAACAGAGAGATAAACACAGCCTGGGGGTAAGGCAACAGAGAGATAGGGAAACACAGCCCGGGGGTAAGGCAACAGAGAGATAAACACAGCCCGGGGGTAAGGCAACAGAGAGATAGGGAAACACAGCCCGGGGGTAAGGCAACAGAGAGATGGGGAAACACAGCCCGGGGGTAAGGCAACAGAGAGATAGGGAAACACAGCCCGGGGGTAAGGCAACAGAGAGATAAACACAGCCTGGGGGTAAGGCAACAGAGAGATAAACACAGCCCGGGGTAAAGCAACAGAGAGATAAACACAGCCCGGGGGTAAGGCAACAGAGAGATAAACACAGCCCGGGGGTAAGGCAACAGAGAGATAAACAAAGCCCGGGGGTAAGGCATCAGAGATACAGGGAAACACAGCCCGGGGGTAAGGCAACAGAGAGATAAACACAGCCCGGGGGTAAGGCAACAGAGAGATAAACAAAGCCCGGGGGTAAGGCATCAGAGAGACAGGGAAACACAGCCCGGGGGTAAGGCAACAGAGAGATAAACAAAGCCCGGGGGTAAGGCAACTGAGTGATAGGGAAACACAGCCCGGGGGTAAGGCAACAGAGAGATAAACACAGCCCGGGGGTAAGGCAACAGAGAGATAAACAAAGCCCGGGGGTAAGGCATCAGAGAGATAGGGAAACACAGCCCGGGGGTAAGGCAACAGAAAGATAGGGAAACACAGCCCCGGGGTAAGGCAACAGAGAGATAAACACAGCCTGGGGGTAAGGCAACAGAGAGATAAACACAGCCCGGGGTAAAGCAACAGAGAGATAAACACAGCCCGGGGGTAAGGCAACAGAGAGATAAACAAAGCCCGGGGGTAAGGCATCAGAGAGACAGGGAAACACAGCCCGGGGCTAAGGCAACAGAGAGATAAACACAGCCCAGGGGTAAGGCAACAGAGAGATAAACACAGCCCGGGGGTAAGACGGAGAATGTGAAGTTGATACAGTGTTGTGAAAAATTCACTTTCATGTACCCCCCCCCCCTCCTCCAAACTAAAAAAAAGAGAGAGTTTAATTATATTATATTATGTTATATTTCATATGCTAGAGCAGAAAATAATTAAAACCATTTCTAAATATCACGTTTTAAAATCTTAAAAATAAAATTCTATAGATGGTAATTAGGTCGCTATAGTCAGTTAATACAGTACAGTGAACATAAGTACTGAGTAGATGAGACAGTGCATGGTCTCTTATTGGCTCTCTTCGTGCTAGTGCATCTATACATGTATCACAAATTGTTGAAAAAGATGTTAAGTTGTCAAAAAAAAAAATCTGAAAAGATTACACATACTATTTTTAGATTTCTTTCATACATGTATAGCTTGATGGGAAAAATTCCTAAAATTCACAGTGCTATAGTAAATTCATATTTATCACAGAATAATAAATGGCATGTTTGTTTTAAACAATCATTATGGATTGCCAAGCATTGACAACAAAAAAGAAAGGTGCTGTTTTATCGTGATAATAACTAAGTCAAGTAGCTAAAGCCAGTCCTTACTATCTCAAGACAAAAGAAGCTGCATGCATATTTTTCACAATAATTTGCTCAAAGCAAAGTATAATCCAATTTCTTCTGTACGCTTCAACTTTTAACTTTGGAAAAGTACTTTGACCTTCATGTGTTACATCTAGCGGACTTCGTGTTGTAATTTTACCTGTGTGTAGCAAGTATGAAAAGAATGGACTGAATTTAAACAAGCCTTATCAATTTCTATTTCAGGAATCACGATGTCTGGAAAACCGGAAGCTTTCACCGGAGTTCCGGTCCCCACACTACTTCCGTGGCGCGAAAATGCCTGGACTAAGAAGTGGTCGGGATCGGGGTACTTCCTTCCCGCGGGAAACAAATGGTTCCACGACCAGGACTCGCCAGCTATCCCGCGGGAATCCCTGATGTTTTATAACGAGGAGGACTGGATCAAATTTAAATACATGACAGAGAACCAATCACTAGCAACTCAGTGATCACGTGATCTCAATCTTTATGTTTATGTATATTTGGTGCAAGGACAGAAAGCAAACTTTTTGTAAATAATATTTTTAGTAACTTAAAGAATTGTTGATGTTGGAAATGTCTGTCTTTAATCTTGTTGTATATAAATAAAGTTAAAAATATAATAAATAAATCAAAACTATAAAAATTCTGTTTGAATGTTAGGGAAATACATATTTTTCCGTCAAACAATGGTTAACATATTATACTCGCTGTAATAGAGTCCATAATAATCCTAGTTAAAACAAGACTTAGTGTTTTGAGTCCAATCTAAATCTATTACCCAGTCAGTATAGGTTATTGCTGTTATTGGGTGTTAAAAATCAATCCGTATTGAAGTTTTCCTTGACTAAATAAGTACCAGTATTCAGTGTCTCAAGAGTTACCGTTCCTTGCTCAGGTATGCACATTACAAAACATGAACACACCATTCGACAATAAAATCACATTTATTCATTTCAATATTCTTTATGATCAACAGTGAAAAAAGTGCAATCAATTCATATTGTTATACCTTTACAAATTAGTTCCTATACAAATCTATACGGAAAAAAGTCCAACATTTTTAATGTTTTGCTGAGCGGGCATAAAAAAATCGATGTTGGACCGCTGAGTGAGATGTTGGACCGCTCGGAGAGATGTTGGACCGCTTACGTCACAGAATGGGCGGAGCTTAATCTGATTTTCATTGGTTGGTGTTAAACAGTGACAGATTTGATGTTACAACACGGAATACAGCACAAAAAACCTGTATTTCTAAAAAATTTAAATAAAATGAAAGGTATAACAAAACATTTATTGACAGAGTTTCGGGCAAAATGCGTTTTGTCGGACCCAAGAACCAAACTGTCTGCCTGAGGCCGTTAGGCCTCAGGCAGACAGTTTAGTTCTTGGGTCCGACAAAACGCATGTTGCCCTCGAACTCAGTCAATAAATGTATAATATCACCAGAATCATCTTCATAGAAGATTTGACTTTGCATGTTTCCTATCTAATTAGACTAATGATTAAAATATCAATTATTTTCATTCTTAAAAAATTAGTAATCAAATTTTTATCATGATTTAGTTTTCTACATAAACATGTACAAGTGCATATAAGTGTACAATCCAATGTGTACATGTACATGCATATTGTAAAAAAAAAATGCAAATAAATTCTTAGTCACGAAATATTAAATTTGCTGAATGATTTAACAATTATATGATAATAATACTGCTCATTACAACTTTATGCCATTCAGAATTCCCATTACCTACAAGTAAGCTGCGTAAATATAAAACAATTAAAACTTTCTAGAGTGCTAGACTGTATATAGAGTCCAATCATTCACAGCGATCGGTGTGAGCACTGAACTATATATAGTGTCCAATCATTCACAGCGATCGGTGTGAGTACTGAACTATATATAGTGTCCAATCATTCACAGCGATCTGGGTGAGCCCATTGGTCAATGGAATTCCCGATCTTCTTCTTCACGGCTTCTGTAGCATCAGTCAACTCCTGAATGACATTCTACAAGATAATTATTAATTTAGTTAATTCAACAACATAATTAGTGAATTTAGTTAAGCATTAGACTAGTATACATACATACACAGTCTCTCTTTGACATAATACTGAGGAAATAAATTCAACTACTTGAGGAAGATTCTGAAGAAAAACAGTCACAGTGAAACACAAAGTCTTCATCAGGACAATGATATAAGACGGCTAGAGGGTCAACAAAATTAACCACCAGATGTAAATTATTTTTTAGATATATGTCAACTATCATTTTTCAAAGAAAAAATGTCACAAATTTTAGTTTTAAAAATTGATCATTTATATTTCATAATTTATGTAGAGCTCTCCTTCTGAAGGAGATAAAAATAGAAAAAATTAAAAAAATGGTTTTTGATGTCAATACAATGATTAAGCCATATGAGGAGTACAATATTCACTGAGCCTGAAGGGCAAGGTGAATATTGTACTTCGAAGATGGCTAAATCATTGTATTGACCGAAAAACAGCAATAATTGTTTTATTATATGATTCACTGATGATATGATACAGCTCATTATTTGTTTGCTTTTTTTTAAAGTCCTAGCCAAATACAAGAGAGTAGCAGAATTAAAATGTTAATAAACCTTACCAGTCGTATCAACTTGAAATTTTTTTAAGAATGAATCTTAGTAGCCATGAAAGAAATATATAAAGTCAGTCTTTTTATAGGATAGATTTTGAAAGGAAGGAGTATTATCAGGGAAGACTAACTGCCAAAAAGTTTTAAAAAAGTTGTTCAGTAAAAGTGTTGGAGGGGGGGGGGGGGGGAGTTCCTGCATCCCCTTTTTAACCAACCTCATCTAAAATATATATTTGGTTATGTTTTGTTCACATAAAATAAAAATCATATTCGTTTAAATAGTTTTCTAAAAAAATTTGTATCAATGTGGAATTCCCCAATCTATTTTTAGATCAATGTAGAGTAAATGAAAGAAAAAGTGAGCTAGCTCACATACCCCACGCTTCCCCAAAACTTGACGGTGAAACACATAATGAAACGCACAGTGCAATTATATACATAGTATAGATCAAAAAGGGCAATAATTGCAAAAAATCTTCTCATTAAAATGTCTTGCATATGAGGACATTTAAATGTGGAATGAAGTTTCTAGATAAATAATGGAATCAAAATTTCTTGACAATATACAAATCCACACATTAATGTAAAGTGGGGGGTTGGGGGTGGGGTGAGAAATTTTCTTGAATAATAGTCAAAACTCTTTGGGATAAAAAAATGGAATATGTTCTAAATATCAGCATAGGTTGACGAAACTGTGTAAAACAGTTTAAGAGGAGTGGTGCTGACAAATTTTTCATCTCTATATTTAAAATATGGCCAAAAAGTCTAAGTTGGAAAGTGTGGAAATTCCCAGAAAAATACAGGAATCGAAATTTCCTGGTAATATGCACATCTACATATTGTGTCCTAAATATCTGCAAAGATTGAAGAAATTCAGTCTGTGCAGCGGCTTATGAGGAGTTGCGCTGACAAACTGTTCATCTCTATATTCGAGGTTTGGCCAAATGCCCAAGTTAAAAGTGCGGAAATTCCCGGTAAAAATTATGGAATCGGAATTTCCTGGTAATATGCACATCTACATATTGTGTCCTAAATACCTGCAAAGTTTGACGAAATTCTATGCAGCGGTTTATGAGGAGTTGCGCTGACAAACTGTTCATCTCTATATTAAAGGTATTGCCAAATGCCTAACTTAAATGTGCAGAAATTCCCGAAAAAAAAAAATGGAATTGGAATTTCCTGGTAATTTGCACATCTACACATTGTGTTCTAAATGCCTGCAAAGTCTGACGAAATTCTATGCAGCGGTTTATGAGGAGTGCGCTGACATACTGTTCATCTCTATATTCAAGGTATGGCCAAATGCCTAATTAAATGTGCGGAAATTCCCGCAAAAAATAATGGAATCGGAATTTCCTGGTAATATGCACATCTACACATTGTGTCCTAAATATCTGCAAAGTTTGACGAAATTTTATGCAGTGGTTTATGAGGAGTTGCGCTGACAAACTGTTCATCTCTATATTCAAGGTATGGCCATATGACCTAAGTATAAAAGTACGGAAATTCCCGGAAAAAATAATGGAATCGGAATTTCCTGATAATATGCACATCTACACATTGTGTCCTAAATATCTGAAAAGTTTGACGAAATTCTGTGCAGCGGTTTATGAGGAGTTGCGCTGACAAAAAAAGAGGACTGACTGACTGACTGACTGACGGACTGACTGACTGACGGACCAGTCAAAAACATTATACCTCCCGCAACTAGTTGCGTGGGGTAAAATAAATCCTTGTATTGACCTGGAACGTCATGTCCAGGTCAATACAACGTAATATTTTTCTAACATAGTTAGATCTCAGCCAATCAGAGAGATGGAAATTATTCAATCATATAATAAATTGTAAAAAATTATCAATATTTACATTTCCAATGTCTTTGTCCGAGATAAAATTACCAATTGTAAATGTAATTGATTTCCTCATGAATGTTTTGGCACGGTTCCAAAAAAACCATGTGCAGGGCGGGACAACACCTAGAGAGAAGCAGGCTTGGAGCCCGTGGATTGGCGGAATCAAAGCATGTAAATATAAGGAATAACTGTCAGATTTTTCGAATTCATGAAGATGATCAATGGATTGGCTTGTGTGATAATTTTATGCATAAACAAATTAACACACAAGCCAATCCATTGATCACTTCATGAATTCAAAAAATAAGACAGTTATTCCTTAACTGGACTCAATGTCATTAAGTGGGGCTGTAATTTAATTGTCTGATACAGTTGTAGTTGGGGATGCGATTTACCTGTCTTGGGTGGGGCTTTAATTAATTTGTCTTGGGTGGGACTGTAATTTACATGTACTGGTTTTCCGATAGGGCTGTAATTTACCTGTCTGGGGGTGGGGCTGTAATTTACCTGTCTGAAGTGGGGCTGTAATTTGGCTGTAATTTACCTGTCTATAGGTGAGGCTGTAATTTACCTGAGGTAGGTCAATAATTTCACAGTTCTCCACCATTTGTTCTGGCGTCCTAGCTCCCACTATGGCCACAGGGACATTGGGCTGGTTCAGTAGCCAGGATAAGGCTGCCTTAGACATTGGGACGTTGGCCTTCTTACATATATCACTCATCTTAGCTATTGCCTGAAATAATGAAAATGAAATGTAAAGAACACATTGTGTAATAAATCAAATAGAAGGCACTGCATTATTATCTAGAAAACAAGAATCTACAAGTAATATTCTGTTTATTAAGATCAGCCTAATTAAATGTTAATTTTTGAGCAGCCTTATGAATATTTTGATTGGAAAGGGGGTGGGGGGGGATAACAGTATCTATCTTTAAATCAAGAGAATTTGCAAGGAAATCAAAATAGTTGTGTATCAGTTCATCAAATCTGACACAACATTTTCTAAAGGAATTGACCTTTATTACTAAATATAGTATTACACTGAAAACTATCTAAGTGGAAATTTTAGCAAGACGCAAATTTAGAGACTTATCCTTAAAAATTCGTATTATTTTTAATTTTAACAATTTTTAAATGCTCATTCAAGAAGCTTTTACAAATAAAACGCAATTAATTTTTAAGCAATATTCAGATTTAACGATCTCAGATACCCTCCCTAATAAAACCAAAATTAAATACTTGCTTAAAATTCTGCTTATACAATGTATGGTATTGAGGAATCAGTCAAAATGATCGATTTTCTCTTACTTAGTGAAATAACCAATTGAACCAATTGGGCCAATTGAAGGTATCAATTACTGTATCTGTAAAATTGTATGAAATGCTCGGTTAGATTTCTTCCATTCTTACGTGAGAGGTCAGTCTAATTACCTCAAATACTTCCTTCTCAGCCCCCTCTTGTCCATGCCTTGCTAGATGACAACTAAAAAATACAAACATCCTTCAATGAAGTTGACTGAAGATTATTTTCACTTAATTTGTATAAAATTCACAATTTCATAATAAAATCATAGAATTTACTCTACAAATTGACAAGCCTTAGCCTTGCCAATTTAAAGGCATTGAAAGAAAGATATTTTATTGAAATTTTTGAAAAGACACTTGGACATGTTGAAATAAAATCATCAAAAGCATTCAATATTAACTTCTAATCAGTGCTGTAATATCTAACAATTTCGTAACTGTTATAAGTATTTTAATTTCTTTTTCTTGGAGAAATTTCTATTTGTTTAAATTATATGGATGGTATGCGCAGAACTAGACTAACTACTGCATACAGGGTTATTTTCGCCCCGTGTTATTTTCACCTTTTTGCACATGCGAACAAATTTTGTCCTGTTTTAAATTTGTCTAGTCATAGTTCTGTTTAAAATATTACATGGTGTTCTTTGAATTTTTCCTGATTTAATTTCATCCATTCATAAAGAGGGCAAAAGGGAAGAAATAAAACAAGGGCAAATTTTCCCTGTATACAGTATTCAGGCACTATTTCATATCTTACATAAAATAAAAAATAAACCTAGTGTCTTACATTTGACTAAATGTACCTCTCTGGAGAGAAGAGTTTGCCTCTCCGTCGTCCGAGGGGGACGTCGTCCACCTTAAGGAACCTCCCTGAGAGCAGCCCCTGCTGTAAAGGGGAGTAAGCCAGGATACCCACCCCGTACTTCTGACACGTGGGGATCACTTCATTCTCCACCGACCTCCAGAGGAGGTTATAACCGATCTACAACAGAGAAATCACTGATATAAATATACACCGACCTCCATTGTAAGTTATAACCGATCTACAACAGAGAAATCACTGATATAAATATACACTGTCCTCCATAGTAAGTTATAACTGATCTACAACAGAGAAATCACTGATATAAATATACACTGTCCTCCATAGTAAGTTATAACCGATCTACAACAGAGAAATCACTGATATAAATATACACTGTCCTCCAGAGTAAGTTATAACCGATCTACAACAGAGAAATCACTGATATAAATATACACTGTCCTCCACAGTAAGTTATAACCGATCTACAACAGAGAAATCACCGATATAAATATACACTGTCCTCCAGAGTAAGTTATAACCGATCTACAACAGAGAAATCACCGATATAAATATACACTGTCCTCCACAGTAAGTTATAACCGATCTACAACAGAGAAATCACTGATATAAATATACACTGTCCTCTATAGTAAGTTATAACCGATCTACAACAGAGAAATCACTGATATAAATATACACTGTCCTCCACAGTAAGTTATAACCGATCTACAACAGAGAAATCACTGATATAAATATACACTGTCCTCCATAGTAAGTTATAACCGATCTTCAACATAGAAATCACTGATATAAATATACACTGTCCTCCACAGTAAGTTATAACCGATCTACAACAGAGAAATCACTGATATAAATATACACTGTCCTCCATCGTAAGTTATAACCGATCTACAACAGAGAAATCACTGATATAAATATACACTGTCCTCCATAGTAAGTTATAACCGATCTACAACAGAGAAATCACTGATATAAATATACACTGTCCTCCAGAGTAAGTTATAACCGGTCTACAACAGACAAATCACTGATATAAATATACACTGTCCTCCATAGTAAGTTATAACCGATCTACAACGGAGAAATCACTGATATAAATATACACTGTCCTCCATAGTAAGTTATAACCGATCTACAACAGAGAAATCACTGATATAAATATACACTGTCCTCCATAGTAAGTTATAACCGATCTACAACAGAGAAATCACTGATATAAATATACACTGTCCTCCAGAGTAAGTTATAACCGATCTACAACAGAGAAATCACTGATATAAATATACACCGACCTCCATAGTAAGTTATAACCGATCTACAACAACAGAGAAATCACTGATATAAATATACACTGTCCTCCAGAGTAAGTTATAACCGATCTACAACAGAGAAATCACTGATATAAATATACACTGTCCTCCACAGTAAGTTATAACCGATCTACAACAGAGAAATCACTGATATAAATATACACTGTCCTCGACAGTAAGTTATAACCGATCTACAACAGAGAAATCACTGATATAAATATACACTGTCCACCATAGTAAGTTATAACCGATCTACAACAGAGAAATCACTGATATAAATATACACTGTCCTCCAGAGTAAGTTAGAACTGATCTACAACAGAGAAATCACTGATATAAATATACACTGTCCTCCACAGTAAGTTATAACTGATCTACAACAGAGAAATCACTGATATAAATATACACTGTCCTCGACAGTAAGTTATAACCGATCCACAACAGAGAAATCACTGATATAAATATACACTGTCCTCGACAGTAAGTTATAACCGATCTACAACAGAGAAATCACTGATATAAATATACTCTGTCCTCCATAGTAAGTTATAACCGATCTACAACAGAGAAATCACTGATATAAATATACACTGTCCTCCACAGTAAGTTATAACCGATCTACAACAGAGAAATCACTGATATAAATATATACTGTCCTCCATAGTAAGTTATAACCGATCTACAACAGAGAAATCACTGATATAAATATACACTGTCCTCCATAGTAAGTTATAACCGATCTACAACAGAGAAATCACTGATATAAATATACACTGTCCTCCATAGTAAGTTATAACCGATCTACAACAGAGAAATCACTGATATAAATATACTCTGTCCTCCAGAGTAAGTTATAACCGATCTACAACAGAGAAATCACTGATATAAATATACACTGACCTCCAGAGTAAGTTATAACCGATCTACAACAGAGAAAGCACTGATATAAATATACACTGTCATCCAAAGTAAGTTATTACCGATCTACAACAGATAAATCACTGATATAAATAAAACATAATCCATCTTTGTGTCTTACACTAAGTAGTCTTAGCATTTATTCATGTAAATCTAGTGTGGCTATCTTTTTGTTTGATGTTAGTGGGCCAGGACTATGGAAATTGAAATGGGAGGCCTTGTGTAATTTAAATCTACAACATTTTTTAAAAATTTAATTTCAGGAACTCTTTTTCACATTGAAATGGAAATTTCAGAAATTACTGTCTTGTTAAAAGAGTGCGCCAGGGACATTACAATAGTTGGAAATGTGGGATAATTTATGTGTAACGAGCTTTACATACTCACAGTGACTAAACAGTGATTCCTTCAATACACTGACCAACGTAGTCAATTTTAGTTTAAGTATATATCTAGTACATGTATACTGTAAAATTACATAATTTTGTAGGGTCAAAGAGCTTAAGCCACAAACTACCAAAATATGCCCTGTCACCAAAATCAATAAAATTTTCTCAGTTAATACTATAGGATTTGTATTTTATAAAACTTTTTATTTTTTCATAATATCTTTTCTAGTTTTCATTTTACAGCCGTTTAAGTTTGGTGTTGTTTTTTTTTATAGAAATCTAAAACGTCATAAAGAGGAACGTCATGACTTATAGACAGTTGACGTTATATATGCTGTCACGTCCTGCTGTCAAAATAATACTTATGGGAAATAATAATAACAGTTAATATAATTATATTTTATTAAAATAGGCCCTTCTTTAAGAATTTGAAAGTTTTTATTAAGGGTTTTCAACAATGCTCGTAAACATGGGACTAGCAGATCCTTATTTTAGAGCAATATCATAAAAAATGAAAAGAAAAGGGTTAAGTGAGCAAATGTAAAAATAGGCCTTCCTAAATTGATAGACAAAGTGACCTTTTATCTCGCGATATCATTATCTAACTTTGTCTTCTTGTGGTAATTAAATTACAAATAAATCTTTTTTTTCTGTTTTTGAATATTTTCCAACTCCTGCACTAACATTATAGCAGTATATTGAAAGATGAGATTTGATTCAGTAACTAGCCAGGTAAATGTGACCCCAATACTTCTTGCTGAAGCTGGAAATGAATAGGGATCATAATATACTTTTCTGTACACTTTTATGCATGTGTACAACAAAGTTTAATAAAGTTGGATAGAATTATTAAAAGCCATTGTCATAAAGTGCCAGAAGATTCATCCTGTCAACAAAAAAGAAGAATGGAAGAATTAATGCTTTGAGGGTTTTAAAAATTTTATTCTTATAACAATATCTTTTCTAATTTTCTTTTTACAGTCATTGAAATAATGGTCTAATTCACTAAATATACATATATTTATATAGATAATAAAATCCATGTGAAAATAATAATATTTACATGTAGAGCAGCTTTTTGTTACAATCAGACAAGTAAACATGAAAAAAAAAATTTGTAACTGTTTACTTGTGGAGCGGCCCAATCCCCCCCCCCAACCCTGAAATAACACTCCCACATAAAAACATAATTAATCTACAAGTAATAAGAAATTCCAAAACTACCATTATGTACATGAACTTCAAATTTCAAAAATCTGATAGTTTACATTAAATTGGAACAGCCCAATTTTAACTCCTGAAATAACACTTGCATGTATTATTAGAACAACTGATTTATTAATTATTCTTCAACTAATTCATTTTCACTTTCACTGTCTGACTGGTCAACAACTGGCAGAATGTCACTGGCATCAAGGACACAAGTACTCCAGTCACGTACTCCAACTGACTTGCCATCCATACTCCTGGCTTTTCCAAGATACCATATGATCGCTGAAACATGACTACACATCCCGACAACTCTAGCTCCACATGGACACAAACAATACCAAGATTCTACACAAGCCTCGTTGTATTTAATCCAAAGTGTATACTTTTTTGATGAGATGTGCCTGCTTTGAATTCTCACACGAAGCAAATGAGAGTCATCCTCATGAAACTGTATGAAACTGTCATTTTCTAAATGTTCTTGAATGTAGCTTGCGGACAACTTGAGTTGATATGTTCCTACAGTAATGTTTCTAAGCTGTTCATCATCTAAAGTTGGGAAGTTTTTCAGGTTTATCTCTGAAGCATTTTTCCAAATAGCACTTTTTCGGCCAAGGTTGTTCTTTTCCACATACTCCTGTAAGGTGTTTCCTTGTTTGGCTAAATATAACATTTTTGCTGCCTGGGCTTCATCTTCTTCCTGGCTTACACAGGTGCTCAGCTCTGGGAAATATTTGTTGTTTAAGGCACAAACAATTTTCACATAATCTCCAATAAATGGAATTTGATTTGTAGGTAATGTGTGACTTAAATATTTCCATCTTTTAATCCTTGCGTTAGAGGATTCCACAACCCAGCGAACCTGAAAATCAAAGTAATTAATGATTTATTACAATTAAGCTTTATGAAATGTCATGATTCCCAAAATAATTATTTATATGATATGATGTTCTCTGTCTGGTCCAAATGTTTTTTTCTTAGGGTACTTTAGAGTAATTCAATTCAATATTCAACTTTAAGAACTTTATTTAAGTCCAAATTGCCTCTTGACTTGCTGTAAATTTATTGTGTATTTTGAAATCATACATTATAATTGTAAACATTAAATAGCAGAAATCAGAATTATTATATACAGAATTCATAGAGAATCGAAGAATTAATACCGGTATATATAAAACTGCTAAGGATCACATATACAGTCACAATATAAACTACAGATTTTATCAATGATTTTTTTTATCTAACATTTATATGACAGATATTAAAAGTATTTTGGAAAGAGAAAAAAAGACAATTAAAGAAAGTTTGGGAACCCCAAGAGCTTAATTTT